AAACATTTTTTAACCTGCCTACGCTCACCATAGACGACACAGCTGTCCTCTTGGCTACATTAAAACAGAAAACTGAGCTCCCTGTTGTTGACTCGACATGGAATAAAAAACACTCCCATAATCTGCCTCGGCTAGTGCCGATTCAGCCTCAGAAAAACCAGACCAGCGTCTTACAGTTTACAATTGCAATGTGTGCTGGCCGAAAAATTAGCCGTAGCTGTTTAGCATAAGGTGCTAATGAAAATATTAGCTCATCATGCTTCTGTCGACAGAGGTTCTTTTTCAGCTCAGCGGTCGAGGTATGACAGATCACAAAACCCGGATACGATCAGCAGACAAAAAAACAGGTAATCTTCTCCAGCCTCCATGTTCCGGTGGATCTCGAGGGAAACAATCAACCGCTGCGGGCCGTCCTCCGGTCTTTGAAGCCACCATTTCGACAATGCCAATTTCTGTCAAGGGTAAGACTGTGATTCTTAAAACTGTTGATCATTTCTCTAAAATGGTTCATCTCACCGCTCTTAATAAGCTCCCCACAGCTAAAGAACTGAGTCAAATCTTCATGAAAGAAGTGTTTAGATTACATGGTTTACCCAAAAACATTGTATCTGATCGCGGCCCACAATTTGTTTCTGTGTTCTGGAGGGAGTTCTGTTCTGTCCTCAGTATAACGATCAGTTTATCTTCTGGATTTCACCCTCAGACAGATGGCCAAGCTGAGCGAGCTAATCAGGTATGGCGGATATGGGGTATGGGGAACAGCCAGAAGAGAACTTCTGAAATCATCTTTAGTCACTTCTAGGACGGCTAACAGATGTCGAATCCCGGCTCCCCAGTACCAGGTTGGTAATAATGTATGGCTATCAACTAAAGACCTACATTTGAGACTTGAATGTCGTGAACTGGCACCTCGATTTGTGGGTCCCTTCCCTATATCCAAGGTTATTAACCCAGCGGCAGTCAGACTCAGACTTCCCAGTTCCATGTGAGTCCATCCCACGTTCCACGTGTCCCGGGTCAAGCCTGTAATCCAGTCAAGATTTGTGCCCTCCTCCAGGCCCCCTCCTCCCGTCCGACTCATTGATGGTAGTCCTGCCTTCATGTATATTGCCTCCTTAAATCTCGAAGATAGGGACGAGATATACATTACCTTGTTCATTGGGAGGGATACGGACCTGAGGAGAGATCTTGGGTCCCTGCTCATAACATCCTGGTTAAAGACCTCATTAGGAGATTCCATATTGACCACCCTGCCCAAACTCGCGCACTCAGAGGTCCGTCAGGAGCCGGACCTTAGGAGGGGGGTTCTGTTATGATTTCACTATTTTGTTCATTTAGTCCCTGTCTGCTCATGTTCTCTGCCCTCCCCGTCACAGACTCTTGTAATCAGCTCATTCAGTTCACCTGTTTCTCCCACTATTTAAGTCAGCCACTTACCTCTGCCCAGTGCCAGATTATCACTAGCTCTGTCTATGATATTCCAGCATTCCTTCCTCATGCCTTGCTCTTGTCCTGTGATCAAGACCCCATTTTTGTCCTCGGGTTCTCCGACTCCTGCCTTTGCCCCTGAGGGATTTTTCCTGCCATCTGCCTCCATGGTTACGACCCTCGCCATCCTCCTCGGATTAACGTCTCTCGTCGCACCCCTTATCGGCACCATCAGTCATCAGATCTCCTGGCTCTCGACCCCTGCCTGTCTACCAGATTACTGGATATCGTCCAGACAACCCCATAGGCCTGGTAAATAACAATGACCTTCTGTGTTTGACCTTCTTCCATCTCACGACCCTGTCTCAGAATCACAGAGTTTACCAAACCAAAACAAACGGTGACATCACTTCCCTCCGGAACCAACATCAAGTAACCGGAGTTTCTGGTTGGACCAATTCAAAGACGAACAGGTTGGTGGAATTTATATTTCCACTATTCACAAAGTTTGCACTTCAATTAAGCCTGTCCTCCTCTGCCTAGATTTGTTGGGTCCAGATTCTGCCCAGAACCAAAACCTCTCCTTTTCTAAAGCTGTGCTTATTAAACATTTTAAACTTTTTTTGTTGTCCAACTGTATTTCAGTGCTCAAAGTTCAAATCTTATCAATCAGAACCATAAATTAACCAAAAAAAAAAAAACTGGCCCATCACTCTAACATTTATACAGCTGCTGAATGCGACTGTTAATAAGACTATTCTTGTTCAAATCTATTTACGCATATTTTACTGCGTCTTGTCTTTACCTTATATCTTGCAGCTTTTCAGCGTACCACCTTGCATTTTTGCAGTTTGTCCATTGCTTCCTACTTCTCTCCAAGTCTGGCCAGTGCTAATGGAAATATCTGATAACTTTGGGCAAAGGAAAGGGGTGTTCCGAGGAGGTGCTGAGAATTTTTATTTTTTTTGGATTAGCTCAATTTCCTTCAAGAGAGTCAACCAATGGGCCATCACAATTGAAAAAAAAATATTTATAGTATAGTTTTTTTATTCATGACAGGCCCATGCCGGCCCATAAATGTGCATCAGCCCACTGGGCACTGGCTGGTATGCCAGAGGGCCAGTCCACCCCTGCTCTAAACAGATCCTCTTTTGCTGATGTATATGGCCCTGAACGGAAAAAATCTTGTACATCTGTCTGTCCTCCTGCAGCCTTTTGATCCCTCTAGACCCCTTAGGTATAATGATCATTTACTTTTAGTCTTTCTGACGTTCAGGCTGGTCCATAGAAGTGATTGTTTCTTTAGTTGTCTAAAGGTCCAGACTGGTCCACAGAAGTGATCAGGGGCCTCATGTACAAAGACTTACATGGATTTCTTACTGAAACCTGACGTACGGTCAAATCCAGAGAACGGCGTGCGCACAAAAATATCCAGATGTATCAAACTGTGCGTACGCTGGAATCCACGCACATTTCTTTTGTACATCACAATTAACGTGGAACTGAGCACAGATAAGACACCTCCCCTGACACACTTTCATTAACATTTGTTAAACAGATGCAAATTACTTTCTGCATGTGTGAAAGACACTTTTGAGTGATCCCTGTGCGATCAGAAATTATTTCTAATGTCATAAAATAGTGAATTTAAAATAATGTGAGTGAGAAAAAAATCTTAAGTAAAAATAGGAATAAAATATGTTTATCACGCAAATAATGAGTGATTGTGTGTTGGTGTGTGTGCGTATGCACGCAAGCTGCTGTGTTGTGCAACCGGCTCATCCATCCATTCTGAGCCTGAAAATATTAACTTTGCGCAGGAGTTTATTACCATAATTACTGTAAACACAAAGGAACTTAAATGCTTGTGTTGAGTCTCGGTCCGGTTCGGTTCTTCTGGGGCTCCGTCGACTGATTTGGACCCCTCTCTCGTCTCCTCTCCGTCTGCTCAAGTCTGATGCTGCTGTTTCTTCGGTGGTTTCGCTGGAGTGTCCTTGCCTGTAGCTGCTGGATGTTTAAGACCTATTTTAGCTAACACTTGAATGAAGAAAGGCGATACTTCAGCTTCTAGACATGTTTATTTAACGAGAGATGTGAGAGAGGATGCTAACAGCTAGATGATACGAAGAACTCTGAACAAAGAAGCGCGTGCCCGCCTTCATGCCCGCTCCGGTCGGACAAGCTCGTTCACATTTCTTAAAGGCACGGTACATAAAAATACACGACATTCCCCCCTTCGATTCTTTCAGAATCGACAAATAATCAAACGTACATACATCTCGCATAAAATACACATTGTCCAGCTGAAAATTTTCATGTGCATAACAAGGTAAATAAGATTTAAACTAAAATTTTAGCCTAAAATTAAATAGGAACCTATTTAATCCTATTTGCATCCTAATTTAAGACATTACTTTAAAGCTAGTTAAGCTAAACTCTAAAGTAAGTAAAATCCAAATTCGACTATCCATCAGCTATCCCTCAAACCTCCTGACCGTGATTAAAGCATCACCTGCAGGGGATCCAAAGGTAAGCTCTCAATCCTAAATTTCATAAGCTAATTAGATCTCCAGAATCAGAAAAACCTCCCTCATGAAGCAGAAGGAGGATCAAAAAGATCCTGAGATCAGAGAACCTTCACACTGAGCCAATCTGTGAAAGAATCTCCTTTTAGAATTACCAATCAACATTAGCTAATTAAAGGACTTAATACCAATCAAAGTCCTCAGAGCATTCCTTATGCTAATTTAAACAAAAAACTCACTACAACTAAAACATGCAACCTATTTA